TTGTGGATTTGTAGATATATTTTGTAAATTTGTAGATATATCTTGTAGATTTGTAAAGATATCTTGTAGACTTATGGAGATATCTTGTAAAATTTGTGTCCACATATGAATTTTTTATTAAAGGAAGTTATATATTAATATTTATATAGATTTATGTAGATTTATATATACTTATGAAAACTTTCGCAAAATTATAGTAAAGGCTTGGCTTACAGATCGGTTGAACACTAGAGTAATAAGTTGAAAAAAGACAAATAAAAAAATGTGATTGTAAAAACAAGTATTTATTAATTTTAAAAAAATAAGTATTTATTAATTTTTATTAATTAATGATACTTTTTGATTGTTTAATAACAAGATAAATTAATTTTTAAAATTTATGGTAAAACTGTGTAAAAGGTAACACACCTCCGATTTAATCGCCACTTAAATATGTAATAGGGGAGGTTTTTCTGAGTAATCCCCCGCAAGAAATAAGTGGAAGACGGCATTGGTTTAGGAGATATAACAAATTAAAGCTTCACAGTTTTAATGCTTTTTCTCAGGTATTATAAAGTAATATTAGGAAAAGTGAAGTTTGTATACATTGTATCTGTTGTAGAGCAGACGAAAAAGTGTTTGTTTACATTTACGGAATAGGTACACGGTCATGGATATTTTGTCAATAATATGTTTCGCCTATTTCTCGCAGTTCGTTAACAGCTTTCAACATGTGAACATGAATTTCTGAGTCATGTCTTCAAAAATTTTATTTATTGAATGCGTGGATGGGGGAGAAGCGGAGTCTAACAAGTGTATACCTATCCCGTAAATGTAAACACTTTTTCTACGTCTGCTCTACACAAATACAACGTAAACAAACTTTATTTTTCCTTATTTTATAATAGAAAAAGCATTAAAACTATGAAACTTTAATTTGTTATATCTCCTAAACTAATGCCATCTCCCACAAATTTCTTTGCGGGGAATTATTTAGAAGAACTTCTACAACATATTTAAGTGGCAATCAAATCGAAGGTGTATTACCTTTTATGCAGTTTTACCAAATTTATATTATATATTTTTTTATTTATTTATTTCGGAATTCATTCTTTTCTATTAAAGAGAGGAGCTAGTAGTTTATATCCGCGTATGGTCAAACACTGCGTGATATATATGTAGACACTCCTTACCAACACTAAAATCTATATATTATAAATATGAAAATGAATCGATATTTTCTACGAATCGTAGACAGAACATATAAATATTTGAAAATATTTTAATATTTACATTACTTTAATACTAATATATATAATTGTTATCTTATATATAAATTCCCTAAAAAAAAAAAAAAAAAAAAAAATTACTATATTTAATAACTATATTTATTTTTATATTTTACATAAAAATAAATGTTTGGTTAAAAATTTGTATTTTATTATGTTCTGTATTTGTATTTTATTACGTTCTGCCAAAATAAAACGAGAACATTATAAATATAGCGTAGACGGGTTAATTTAATCTTCCGATTACATTTTTATCGCGGATTATATTATATATAAACACAGACTTGAAATAAATTTTCTGACATTCCCTATATATACTATAACGCGAACTTTGAACCCGCCCGTCTAGATATGCCAACTATTTCTCTCTTACGACGGCACGATCGTCGCGTAATCATCCCAGGAGGAGGGAAGGAGGGCGCACAATGAGGGGACAAAACGCCGGAGAATCTCCCGAGTTATTTTTATTAGGATCGATTCATCGCCCCCCTCCCCCCCGCCACCCTCTTTCTTTCCTTAACCATGGATGCCTATTTCTCTTACCCCTTGGCGGGGGGCGGCAATACGGCCCTGGCATTTCATCGCCGTATGCAGTCGGTATGCACCGCCGTTGCACACCGCACGAGCCGACCTTAAGGCAACCCAGACTTACGTGCCTTGGCGCATTTCAACGCGGCTGGAATTCCGCGCAATTTCCTACGGAATAAAGTGCACGACGCGACGTGCGATGCGCGCAAACAACGAAATATTGACATTGCGGGGACGCGTACCGTATCGGCGCGAGCGCGGCGCAAGATGCGCTCGTTTATACGTCGCATACGTCGTATACGTATTCGGGAGAGAAACAGAGGGAAATAAAAGAGGAGAGAGAGCCCGAGATATTTTCACGCGATGCATTTTCCACGGAGTCGCGCGTCCCGCCGCGTACCTCGACTGAAATGCTTACGGGCGCGGAAAACGCTCGCCGCTCCCGCCGTTGATATATATCTCGTCGCGAGCGGCCGGAAAAAACGCGGATAATCGCGATCGCCTCAGTGACTTTCCGGCCTCCGGGGAGAAAAATGATTGGACAAGCCTCTCATTTACCACGTTTTCGTCTGTGTATGAACATGAGGGGTTTCGCTTAGGTTTTGAAATCGTTCCGCGCGATGCGTTTTATTCGCATTAAATCATATAGATACTATCTTTAAATAATGTATAATGAACAGGTGTGAGATCTACATCGTATTTTCTCAAAACGTATTTAATGTAGAAATTTTGAGAAATAAATTAATTTTATATTATTAAAAATGAAACCTTTATTACATAGGTAGAATGAAAACTATATATAATGTTTTATACAGATTATGTGTTGATAAGAATTGCACGGGTGTCTTATTCACGCATTTTGATAAAAAATATTGAAATTATGTATATTTTTAAAACAATTTTATATGCGTAGGATTAAATGAAATAGCTGAGAGAAGGGCAGTGTAATAAAAATTTTTCATATTCTTTCATCTTGAAAAATATTGTACAAATAAAATGTATATCGAAACTCTCTACATTCCGCGCATTGTTTATTGAGGAAAATTAAAATTTCTCTCGATATAACGAAGCGTTGTCCGCTTTGATTAATTCGCGTAATGCAGAATATCAAGAGCGCGGGATATCGATGGAATAATGAAGAAATGAAGTGGTCGCCGGTATATGATCATCGTTTCGAAAAATAACTAAAAACGCATCGGAAGGACTTTCGAAGAGCCGGCCTCTCTTTCGCGCAGATCCATTAAATTCCTACGGGGTTTGATTAACGCTCATTCAACGTCGAGAGTATTGAATGTCGGCGTACCTGAATCCAACTCCGACCGTGTGTTCTATCGATCGTTCGACCGTCTGACAGGAAATTAATTCATTATTACGCCTCTCTCGTTGCTACGCACCGCGCAATTTCTTCGATTATTCGTAAATACAAATCACGGAGCAATTAACGAACCTTTATGATATTTTGATTATTAATTATGTTTAATGTAGCGAGCGTAATTACGTTCTATTAATCGATCGTTATTACGCTTGCAAATTGCTATTGCTTTTTGCGCTATTCTACAGCACACGAGCACATTTTTCAAGTTGAAAATTCTCTAAAGTGAAAATTTTGCTCAGAATGAAAGTTCTTTGTTAGAGCGATATATTTGTATGAGATGTGATTAATTAATAGTAAGGTAAAATAAAAAATAATTTTTCAGATCCCATATTTTTATTTCGTTTATTATACATGAATTTTGCGGCCATGATGAATGTAATCCGTAAATTAATAATCCTTCTTTAAATATGTATGAGTGCTGAATAAACACCTGCTTGGATAATTTGATACGGATTTTTCAAACTATTAATGATAATTTGAGCAACAAGCCGTTGTATCTATATTTTGCCACGTATATCCCATTTATTTATTAAATATGATAACGCTAATTATATTACATTTATATATTACCGTTTCGCGTGTATTATTTTGTACACGGATCATTAATTATCTAATTATTTATTGAAGCGTATTATTATAGTAATATATGATTTGTTTCGCGTATTGTTTCTTATAATCTGTATTAAAAATAGCTTACACGATATACATATTTGCATCGACATCATTAATGTAGTAATAATAACATATAATTGAAATTGAAAATGTATTAGAGAAAAGTTTAAATAATGAAATCTGTTTTTATCATCATTCCAATTAGAGTACAACACTATTACACACTCTGACGAAGAGATTAAAGTATCTTTATTTATTAGAAAAACTCTCTTTAAATCATTTTTTTGTAAAACTTGATTCACGGAGATACTTATATAACAGAAGGGACGAGCGCGCGTGCAACAACGATCGGAGTTCACTCGACAGGCGCTAATTTTTTTTCTCGTTTTTTTTTTAACCGACCACCCACCCGTTTTAAGCCACCGGGTGCGCTAGCGGGCACGCTGTCATCATTCAGCGGTTACGTTCGATTTTTTTTTTACGAGTATTGATTCTCGATCTCGTGCCGAGATACGGCTTCTTTTTGCCGTTCCGATACGCCATGCGATCGTACGTTTTAGACTGGCTCGCTTAAACGGGGGTAGTTCTTCGTTATGTGAGAGTATAGTTGCGAATCATTTTTCTGCAGCTATTATTGTTTCTCTCGACGCGACTTTTATAACCGGCCGTTTTCGCGCGCGCTTTTCCATTAAAGAAATTTCCATATTAATGGAAGCTTGACGAAGACGTCAGGTCAGAATATGAGAGAGAGAAGGAATGAAAAAGCGACTCGTCGAGTGCTTTACACTCAGTATTTCATAAAATTCATGTTGCATTTTAGAGAAATATGAGATTGAAATGGATTTAAAAATCTTTTTTTTACACTATTTTCAAATTTTTACTTTTTAATTGTCTTCCCTAAATAATTATTAAAATATGGGATGTACATATGATATACATGTATACGGAGTCTCATAGATACACAAATTGATTTTATGTCAACTTGAAAAATTTTTTGAAATGATTTATTATAAAAATAAAAATAAAGAATAAAAAAAATAGTATACAAATGCACTGCATTGGAATATTAAAAAATGAAATATTAATGCATTTCCAGAAATTTTGCCAATGGAGAAACGGAGTAGAGGTCAAAATTATAAAATTTAACGTTACAAAATACTCTGCGTCCTCTTTATCGAGCTTTACATCGCTGACATGGTTACTGTTTCTACCCGTAGGTGAGAAATACCACATGCTGCCCACCGGAGAGCTACTCGTCTTTTCCGTGGCTCCCGCTGATGCCCACTCGACCTATCGATGCCGCACCGTTCACCACGTCACCGGTGACACCGTGGAAAGTTCTTCGTACGCCAGACTTGTAGTTACCGGTAAGTTCTCGAAGGACGTACGTCCGTCAGTCGAACTTCCTCGGGTAGAAGTCCGGGATTCTGCGAATGCTCTCGATATCACGCAAGTTCCGAGAATACCGCATAGTTGAAGAGAAAGAAAGATTCGGAGTTAACAGTAGGCATGTAAGAAACTGTCTGAATAATCATGAGTTGATGATTCAATAATTAACATGTCAAACGTAATTGTAGTAGTTCTCAGGAATTTTCTGAAGAGCAATGTTGTGTGAAATTAAGAAGAACTCCAGATATAATCTACATTCAAATTATATAGTTCTGAAAACCTTCTTAATTCCAGCTGCTTTTTATATATTTTACATTTAATTTAATATTTTTGAGATTTAAAAAATTTAACATTTCACGCGACTTTATATATTTTTTTCCCTTTTACAACATTTCCCTTTCAACATTCTAAATCGAATATTTTTCTCACCTGAAAATGCTAAAGAGAGTGCGAATGCGCGCGCTTACACTTATCCGCGACGCTCACGGTCCATACATAAACATTCTCTTACATCCCGCTAATCCGTTATGCCCGTTACGTTTCACGTGTTCGGGTTGAAACTCCGAGCGGCGGCATAATTGCGATCCACCCCGGTACGTGAGCGGCCGTTCATCCGTAGCATTTCTCGGGGATGACCGACCGCGCGGGGATATTCCCCGTGTTTTATGTATTTACTTAAACACGCGAGCGCGTTTATACAAGATTCTCTCTCACGCGCGCGTGCCCCTTTTGCATAGCGAATCATGATGCATTGTTGCACGTTCGCCGCATGCTTTCCCAAACCCCTTCGTCGAGGTGCAGTTCCCTCTTGGAGGTCCCCCCCGGCACTGCTACACGTGGCGCTTTCTTCATGAATAAATCATGAGTGTCCGAAATGCTAATGGCCGAAACGTTCGCCGACGATATTTCTGTCTGCCAACCCGACATGGTCGAAAATATGCTTAGTGTTCGAAGAGGCAGGCTGCGCATCGACAGATTGAAGGCAATCATTTAAATATAATTTCTTCCAATTTTTACGAAGGATTCTTATAACTTAATGTTAATATACGAGAAAGAGAGATTTTATTTTATTATATTATATTAAAATAAAATTTTTATATTTTATATTAAAATTCTATTGTATTTTAAATTTTGTATTTAAAATATAAAATTTTATTTTATATTAAAATTTCATTTTAATATAAAATAAAATCGAGATTTTTTAACATTTAACTTATATCCATAATTTTATAATAAATAGAAAAAGATCTCTATCAACTCACCATTCATATTTTATAATTAAATGCATTGTATAATATTTTTACATTAATATTGCCTGATTAATGTACGTTGGAAGTGGCTTATTGTGTCGCTTATCTTCAGTTTTTAATAAAAACCAGTTGCAACATACTACGCTTACAAACCGCTCGGAGAGACGGTACAAAGAGCGTCTGACGATCTTGTCATAGGGAAACTCGGTAGTTTCGCTCGGCACACGAACGATCTTGTCATGAGAGAACTCGGTAGTTTCGTCGGCGCACTTCACCCAACGCGTCGGAGGAGATGCTGACTGATAAGGCATAAAATGGGTCGAACGTGGATGAGACTACGGAACAATGGAAGGCTAATGATGAGAGAGTGCACCGTCTTGTCTATTTCGGTCGACCGCGCTGAAACCGATAAGATGGCAAAGGGAGCGTCGGACGAGTATATTGTTCGCTTCCTATCTACGTCACTCGCCGTTAAATTAACCTTTGTGCATTGAAGAAAGTTGATATCGTGCGGACACGAGTTGCAGAAAATTCCAGAGATGCAAACAATATCGCACGCTCTACCCTAATTTTTCGTTATAAAACGTACGCACATTATCGGTTACATTCTGGTTTATTTTTTATTTCAATGTTTAGTGTTAGATATTTATTATACTAATTTTTTTATGTAATAGATTTATTTTTAAAAGTTGTAATCTCCAAGTAATATCTACAGGTAGATATTTTTTTATTATGGGCTTATGGGAGGATATTATCGTTAATACGACTGTTAATTAAAAATTAATAATATATATTTTAAATATATATCTATCGTGGAAAATTAATTTTATTTTAAATTAGAGTAATTATATTTTATATTAAAAATTTATTTTAATATAATACATAAAACAATATATGTATGTATGTATATTGATAGGAAATATTGATTTATATTATATTTATTATGGCATAAAAATTTAACCGAGAAATTTTCCATTAAAATTAATTTTTTACGGGAATATTTTTTAAATGCCGCCATAAAAATTGGTGGCAAATCGCAGCGGGAGAGCCTGAGCGCCGCTTTGTCGAGGCGTCAGTGTCTTATTTCTGTCTCTCTTTCTCTCTTTTTGCTATCATCTATGCCGCCATTATCCGCCCCCATATTTTTCGCGATCTTTCTCTATCCTCTCTTCCCACCCTCTTTCTCTTCCAGTTGCCTTTCGTGCCAGCGACACGTCGGAGTTATAACACTTCGCCGCCGCATTTTAGGGAAGCGCGGCCTTTTAGGCGAGAAATGGTGGCATCCATTAAAAAAAAGAGCTAGGTATGCAGCTGTGATCGCGCGCTGACCATTTAGAACTGAAATTTTTAAAGCCACGCGGTAAAAGTCGCCCCTAATGCATCGATCGAATGCGACGCGATATCGATTCGTCTCTTTGCGATGTTTAAGCTTACCTTGCTTTTAAGTACGTTTTTATCGTAAGAGGAAAGGAAGAGGAGGGAGGGGAGAAAATTGGTCTACGAAGCGACATTCGAGAATGTTTGCGAAATGGATTGTTTGCCAAACGATAAGTGGAAGGAATTTAATATCCAGTCTTTGCCAACATCCGATACTTTACATACAATGTTTAATAGCGTAGGCATTTCGTCTTGCGTGGCTTTTTCACTTTTTTAAAATTGATCCAAAGCGCAAAACTATTTATTTATTTATTTATTTCCGTCAAAGAAATCTGCACGCGAAGAAATTCGTGAAGAGACTCGTGTTTCACCTGCTCGTAAGAAGTAATCGAGAGAGCTTAAAGTTTAGTTTTTAAAATATATTTTTCAAGGAGTATTTAAAAATATATATTTAATTACCTTTAGCTGCGCCTGATATATTTTAGTATTTTGAAGTAAGATCGCCGGTTACCAAGGTAACATATCCATTGACATGCAGCCAACCGAGTAGGATATGAGACGTCTACTAATTTAACGCGGGATCGCACACACAAATGTCGCTCAAAAAAAAAAAAGAAAAGCATTTGGCGCTCCCGACGTGTATTAATTAAGCTCGCTCTGGACTTTCTCCAACTGCTTACAGTTCGACTTTCAGACGAAAGTTTCAAACCCCAAAAAATCGCGGCGAACTTTTTTTCCTGTATGTCGGACGCATTGCCAGAATTCCGAAGAACATTAAAAGTAAGATTTACGACGAATTCTCATTAAGCAGACGAGGCGTGCAATTTAACGTAACGAAGAAAGCGTACCAAGGTATCTAACTATCGACGATAGTTGGTACCCGGGGCCGAAAGTTCGCCGGCAAGATAGGACGAGAGTCATATCGAGATAGTTGGAAAGGGGCGGCTCCTTTATGGCGGCGATTCGCATCACAGTGGAACAAGTCGAGGACAGATCGGGCGCGATCCTGTTAAACCGAGCGCTAAATTAGTTCGACGGCCGAATAGTTCCCGGTGAATTTAGCATCTTCTCCGCCTTTGTCGGTGAATGTGATCTCATTCTCTCGCAAGATGGCCTTTTTGCGTTGGTATAACGAGAGACAGAGAAAGAGAGAGAGAGAGAGAGGGCGATAAAGAGAGTATGCGACTCTGGATTGACGCTTTTCTCCAACTTGGAGACACTAACCAAAATCCTGAATGCAATTCACATTGCAGTCTCGAACAGCCCGCCACCGGGTACGTGAAACTTGCGCGATTCCCTTTTATTTACGATCCGGCTCTTACGCGGAATATTCCGAAAAATTCCGCGAGCCAAATAAACGCGTTCCAAACAGAGATGACAGGTCTCTAAAACATAAGTTTCTCGAGTTTGACTTGCGGGGAAAAGAAGGGAATTTATTGTATCTCGCGGTAGAAAATATATTCGGGCTAAACAATATGTAACCAAAAGATAAGATTGTGTGAATATATCAATAAGATTGAATATCACTTCTCGTAAATTTCTACAATCTACTTAATTAAAGATGCAGAGAAAAAGAAACATTTATCTATCTACTCGATATTTTGCTAAAAATAATTCTAATATTTATTAAAGTTTATATTTTTATACATTGTGTAAAAAAACTCGTAGTTTTTTAGGCAATTGAAAACTGTGAATATCGAAAATAGTATAATCATACAAGAGATAGAATTTATATATAAATTCTCTGTACACATTTTGTGTTCAATGCTTATGATTTTTTATTATATTAGTTTTAAAATATATTTCGATGTAGTTAGATATTTTTGACATAGTTTTTTTAACTGAATTGTAGATAAATTATCGTTTTAATAAAAATATCGCTCTGATTAATTGTAATTGAGAGTACAATTAACGCGTTAAAAAATAGATTTCTAATTGGAGCATCGATGATCCTAGTACAATTTTAAACGTTAAAATATTTCTTGCTTATGAATTACTATATTTTTTTTATTACTTTAGCGTGTCGGGCGTGTAATAAAACTTTGGCACTCATAACATAAATTTATATTTTTGGATTAGATATCTAATCATATGCACACACAATGTATGGTCATACACACAAAATTTAATTTAATTTGATTAGATTTAATTTAATTTTTTAATTTAATTAGATTTAATTTAATTAAAATATTTATCAAAATTTAATTTAAAAACATACTATCGCAATATCCTACAGTATTCGATAAGAGTAGATAAAGAATGTTCCATGTCTATCATCCTTCCCCGTGAACTTATTTTGCGTCAAATCTTTGCTCATGTATGTGCGCTCGCGCATGTATGTGTGTTAGAGA